AGAATCGAAAATGAATCTTGATGTGAATGGAAGGGGAGAGGGAGTGGGAAAGGGGAGGGTTGTGGGTGGGAGGGACAGTATTGGGGGGAAGCCATTGTAATCCATAAGCCGTACTTTGGAAATTTATATTCATTAAATAAAAGTTAAAAAAAACAATACTATGAATCATTAAATGCCATTGAACTCTACACTTAAAAATGACTGATTGCAGCACTGTTTACAGTAGCCAAAATATGGAATAAACAAAGGTGCCCATCCTCAGATGAATGGACTGAGAAAATGTGGTGATATACAAAATGGAATATTACTCAGCTATTAAAAAGAATGAAATCCTGTCATTTGCAGCAAAATGGGTGCAGCTGGAAGACCTCATTTGGAGTGAAATAAGCTAGATACAGAAAGACAAATATAATCTGTTCTTCCTTATATTTAGGTGCGAAATTTTTTTTAAACTTTTATTCAGTAAATATAAATTTTCAAAGTACAGTTTGATTACAATGGCTCCCCCCCCCCATAATTTCCCTCCCACTCGCACCCCTCCCATCTCCCGCTCCATCTCCCATTCCATTCACATCAAGATTCATTTTCAATTATCTTTATATACAGAAGATCGATTTAGTATATACTAAGTAAAGATTTCATCAGTTTGCACCCACACAGAAACACAAAGTGTAAAATACTGTTTCAGTACTAGTTATAGCATTACTTCACATTGGACAACACATTAAGGACAGATCCCACATGAGAAGTAAGTACACAGTGACTCCTGTTGTTGACTTAACAATTTGACACTCTTGTTTATGGCGTCAGTAATCTCCCTAGGCTCTAATCATGAGTTGTCAAGGCTATGGAAGCCTTTTGGGTTCGCCGACTTCGATCTTATTCCAACAGGGTCATAGTCAAAGTGGAAGTTCTCTCCTCCCTTCAGAGAAAGGTACCTCCTTCTTTGATGGCCCCGTTCTTTCCACTGGGATCTCACTCGCAGAGATCTTTCATTTAGTTTTTTTTTTTTCCCCCCAGAGTGTCTTGGCTTTCCATGCCTAAAATACTCTCATGGGCTCTTCAGCCAGATCCGAATGCCTTAAGGGCTGATTCTGAGGCCAGAGTTAGGTGCAAAAATTTAAAAACCTCAATGCAAACACAAAATGTTGATTACTAGAGTTTGGAAGGGATGAGAAAGATACAAACTTTTTGGATAAAAAAATAGGATGGAAAATAGGTTTATTACTGTGACAAAGATACTAATATGTTAATAGTAGAAATAGGGTGAGGGTATATGAGGACTTTTTATTACTAACTCACAGTTTTTGTTTTGTAAATTTGACACTATCCTGAAATAAAATGTTAAAAATAATTAAATGGTTAGTTGCAACTTATGTGCATTTCACCTCAATAAAAACACACAAATGTCATTACTTTGCCAATCTTTTTAAAAACATTTATTTATTTGAAAGAGCTATACAGAGAAGGAGAGGCAGAGAGAGAGAGAGAGAGAGAGAGAGAGGGGGGGGGTCTTCCATACGCTGGTTCACTCCCCGATTGGATGGTCTGACATCAGGAGCTTCTTCCAGGTCTCCCACGTGGGTGCAGGGGCCCAAGGACTTGGACCATTCTCCGCTGCTTTCCCAGGCCAAAACAGAGAGCTGGATCGGAAGTGGAGCAGCCGAGACTTGAACCAGCACCTGTATGGGATCCCGGCACCATAGGCGGCAGCTTAACCCACTATGCCACAACATTGACCTCTTTGCCAGTCTTTTGATAAGGAGCCAATGACTTGTCTTCAGGCATATGTCCAATAACAAGTTCTGGGTTATGTTTCTGGCAGAAATCATATCCACAACATAGATTTCTTTACTTTTAGCTTTAATTTCTTTAAATTGCAGCATGAACTTAGGTACTTGAAAATCTAAAATTAGAATCTGCTTAGATTTTAACTTTTTTTATTTACAGCTTTACATCCACACATAATACGAGAGCAACTGTTTTTAGTAGCTCATGTTTATGTCTTGGTGCATTACTGAAGTGGGGAGTTTAAAGCAGCTGTGATGTGTCCACTAAGGAGTTAGACACATGACGCAAAAGCTGAGTGTTTTTTAAGATTTATTTTTATTTATTTGAAAGTCAGAGTTACACAGAGAAAGAAGGAGAGGCAGAGAGAGGTCTTCTATCCACTGATTCACTCCCCAGTTGGCTGCAATGGCTAGAGCTGCGCTGATCCGAAGTCAGGAGCTTCTTCTGGGTCTCCCACCTGGACACAGGATCTCAAGATTTGGGCCATCTTCTTCTTTCCCAGGCAATATCAGAGAGCTGGATCGGAAGTGGAGCAGCCAGCTCTTGAACCGGTGCCCATATGGGATGCCGGCACTGCAGGCAGCGGCTTTACCTGCTACACCACAGTGTCGACCCCTAAAGCTGAGTCTTAAGAGATTAGAGTGGCCAGCAAGTCATGTTTGGGAAGGAATGGAAAGCGTTTTAGGGACGAAGGGGCCTCGGGTAGCATGGGTGAAAGCAGTCACAGAAAACGGTGGGCACAATGGGTTGAGAAGTGTGGGGGCATGAGGAAGTGACAGTGGGCAGTTAGAGAATTGGGGATTTGAAAGGAAGGACTGAGTAGGGCGTGCAGGAGCTGGAAGGAGAGTGCGGAATGAAGAACAAATTGAAGTTTTGCTAAGATGCAGCAGTGGGCTGGTAAAGCTTGCAAATGCAAGCAAGAGAGGGAACAAGGCGGAGATCAAATGGAGAAAGCCATACCTGCAAGGGGTTGGTGAGTAAGCTCCCGGAAAGCACCAAGCATACGTATGGCTTCCTGGTTCCTTCTATTCTCTTTTGCACACATTGATATGAATACCTTGCCCTATACCTCCTTGGCTGAACAACTGTAGTCTTAGAAAGTTGCCCCCGTAATTCTGGACAGGCTTCTAGGTTTACAAATAGTAGAGACTGGCCTAATGCCTTGCTTACTCCCTCCTCCCGGACATGTCCACGATGCCTGCGTTGAGTCCTGTTTCTCAGATGCTTACTGTCACCTGCACGGTCATCCTGCAGCTCAGCAGAGGCCATGCACTCCTAACCTGAGCCATCACATGTCCTCACTTGTGGGGCTCCATGGGATGCGCAGCCATGGAGCCCCCACGTCAAGGTCGGTCTGATAGCTGTTGCTGTGTCTTTATCACAAGGCGGATGTTGCTAGTTTCGGTTAGGGCAATGCTTTCCCATGGTCGGGACTTTCCAGAGGAGTTGAGAATGTTGTAAACAAAAAGATGGTGCCGAGGACTGCGCGGTGAGCCTGCCTGCTGCGTGACACCTCATCTGATTGGCCCGAGGACGCGTGCACACTGCGTGAACAGACAGCAGATTGGAGTGTTCCGTGCATGGACTTGAGCCTGCTTGCAATTGGCAGGATTTTGTATATAAGCTGTGTGCTGAGGAAGGAGGGGGCTTTTTCTGTCCACTCTCCTCCCTTCATTCTTTCTCTATCGCTGTTATTTTCTTATTAAAAGTCTACTGAAGACCGATAAGCTGCGAGCAGTGTCGTTCCTTTGCGGGCAAGGGAGCGACATTCACTCAGATGTCACTCAAAGTGACAGATTCTTTCACTACACCAAGAGAAGAGGCTTCTGTTCATTGTGGAAAGCAGCCCCTTTCTCCCCATATCCTTGTGGTTATCTTTCATTATTTGTTTTTAGATTTATTTATTTGACAAACAGAGATGCAGAGAGGGAGAGAGAGAGAGAGAGGTCTTCCATCCACTGGTTCACTCCCCAAATGGCTGCAATGACCAAGGCTGGACCAGGACAAAGCCAGGAGCCACGAGCTTCATTTGGGTCTGCCACATGGGTGCAGGGCCCCAAGGACTTCAGCCACTTCCATTGCTTTCCCAGACACATTAGCAGGGAGCTGGATTGGAAGTGGAGCAGCAGGATTCAAACCAGAACCCCTATGGGATGCTGGTATTGCAGGTGGTGGCTTTACCCACTGTGCCACAAAACCGGCCCCTTATCTTTCATTATTAAAAACAATTACAGGGCTGGCGCCACGGCTCACTAGGCTAATCCTCTGCCTTGCGGCGCCGGCACACCAGGTTCTAGTCCCAGTCGGGGCGCCGGATTCTGTCCCGGTTGCCCCTCTTCCAGGCCAACTCTTTGCTGTGGCCAGGGAGTGCAGTGGAGGATGGCCCAAGTGCTTGGGCCCTGCACCCCATGGGAGACCAGGATAAGTACCTGGCTCCTGCCTTTGGATCAGCGTGATGTGCTGGCCGCAGCGGCCATTGGAGGGTGAACCAACGGCAAAGGAAGACCTTTCTCTCTCTCTCTCTCTCACTGTCCACTCTGTCAAAAAAGAAAAAAAAAAGAAAAAAAATTACAAATAGGGGTAAATGTGTGATCCATTGCTTGCACCCAATATTCAAGACTGAGTTTTCTTTCACTTCACCACATCAGACTCTGCCATTTTCTCATTGTTTGCCTCTAAGCCATTTCTTTGCAATCTGTTAGGACTGCTCACTCTTCCTCCAATTTTATTTATTTATTTAGCATTTTGGTATATTTCTTTCCATTTTTTTTGTGCTTTAGAAAAGCATAGCTAAAACCATATCACATGGGTTTGTTTTATTTGCTATTTTAATGCAAGCATTTTCTTGTTGATAACTGCTAGCGACTGCATCTGACAGATGCACCAAGTTCCACTCGGCTGTTTTTCTATAATTAGATACCTAGGTGCTTGTGTGTTTACAGAAATCTTGGCTTACATTGCTGATTTCCCCCCATACCATGATATTAGAAGGAGGATTACAATGACAAGCGTTTTAACAGGAGTGAGAAGACTCATCTCACCTTGGGAACTGCAAGGGATGCTGCTTTCTCACCAGCAGAGTATTAACTTTTCAAGTCTCATTGATATTGTGACAAGAAAGAATGGCCCTATGAGTCTCATTCACATTTTACATGTTTTAAGTGGCATCATCTTCATCTTTAAAATATGAATCATCTAATTGTTTGTAGTGTCACACAGTGTTCAAAGAGGATGATATAGATCTGACCACTGCGTGCAAGAACTTTATCACCTGAAGAAGACATTTGGAGGCAGCCGTGCAGGCTGAAGATTTAACAAGTGCAGACAAGAGCTGTAGAAACTTCCGCCATGGATGGACCTCTGGATGAGGTTAGGCTGGACACCGTGAAAGGATCAAGACCATTTATTTTGTGGACTGTGGTGGGAAAGAGACTAGTGGGGACCAATGGGGGACACCCAGCTTTCACCTGGGCCCGATATAAAGAACAAATGTGTGTTCTGCTCATTCTGTCTGAAAGTCTCTGTAGTAACCCATTTCCTCCTTTCTTTCAGAGCTTAATAATACGTGGCTGCCCTCAGAAAGGTATGGTACCTCCCCCCCACCACCCTGTGCTTGGTTCTGTAACTTCCTCCCCCACTTCCCTCTTGGTTCACCTTTGCCGTGTCATTTTCCTGTCCCCCAGACTAACCCTGCCCTTCCCCAGTGGGAGTGGTGGGTGGCAATGGGTTGATGAGCTCACCAGACCTCCTGTTGTTACTCAGCCTGGAGTTGTCTGGAAACCGCAGGCCCTGAATGTGGCTGTCAGACCTCTGATGTGCTGTCAGCTGCTTGGTTGTCATTGCCATCTTCAGGTTCTGTGCTCCTCTGGCTGCGTTGTCCTCCTGTCACCCTGTGCTGCTGCTTCCCACAGGTGTCTGGCCGCCCTGATACCAGAGGAGAGCCCATCTAGACCACGGGGACAAACCCATCTTTGCTTCGTTCCCACCAAAGATCAAAGTAACATTGCTAACAACAGCACATGCTTTGTGAGTGCTCACTGTTACTCCTTTAACTGTTGGTTTTTCCCTCCTGGCCATGGCAATGGACTTGCTGTACCCCACCTACTCCCTGAAATCTGATAACACAGGTAGACAAATGTATTGGACATGTGATCACTGGCATCAACGCTAATTAGATCAGAACAGATCCAAGGGAAAGGGCAAGGCACATCACCCACTTGTGTCACTGCTTTGGTGCCAAGTCCAGAACACGTGCTTGCCCCGCCATGTCCCACAACACGCTCACAAAGAAGGAGGGCATCGGAAGCCATGGGGTGATCATAAGAATGTTCATTAGAACAGAGAAGCAGGGGCTGGTGCTGTGGCATGGCAGGTAAAGCTGCCATCTGCAGTGCCGGCATCCTATATGGGCACTGGTTCGAGTCCCAACTACTCCTCTTCCGATCCAGTTCTCTGTTATGGCTTGGGAAAGCAGTGGAATATGGCACAGGTGCTTGGGCCCCTGCACCCATGTGGAAGACCTGAAAGAAGCTCCTGGCTTCTGGCTTCAGATCAGTCCATCTCCAGCTGTTGCAGCTATTTGGCGAGTGAACCCGCAGATGGAAGATGTCTCTCTCCGCCTCTGCCTCTGCCTCTCTGTAACTCTGCCTTTCAAATAAATAAATATTTATACAACAAACAAACAGGGAAGCAGACTTCACTCTTGGGCTGCTTCTCTTCTCCTGGTGCATCCAGGCCATTCGTCTGGTTCCCTTGTTCAGCCTGCATCTAACCTGTATCTGTATGCTGGTTTTCCAGCTACCAGAATAGGAGAAATACATTTGAAAAAAAAAAAAAATCTGAAAAGCATTTCCTCCATTAGCTTCATGTTATTGTGAACCTATGGTCTGAAAAGAAATTTCTTTTGATTATCTGGGGGTTTCAGGCATCTATACCAGCTCTCTTCCTGCTGACTGAGAGTTAATTACCATCAAATATCCATCCGCCCAGGGTGAGTTACAAGTTATGCCAGGTGTTTGGTGAATAATACTAATGCAATTTATTTTTCTGTTTACTCTCTCATCTTAAAGTAATCAGCTAGTAAAATAAAAATTATGAACTTGTACTTACAATTTCTTGTTTGTAAGGCTTCTTTGCTATTCATATTAGATTTACCCATTAAAAAATTTATACTGCTCTTCCTGCTTTCCAGGCAAGAATCCCATCGTCACATCCTCTGCCCATTTATCCACTGGGGGTTTTGGTAGGGTTTATATGCACGTTGGAACACATTTTTATATGCTTGGAGATTATAATTTTCCATTTGTACTGAATTTTTTGTTTTATTTCAGTGGCTTAGTGGTGAAAAATATATGCAAGTATATTTGATCATTTTATTTCTTCTCTAATTTCTCCTTCCGCTCTGTGGGAAGACCAACACTTTAAAGGGGGACTAATAATCTTATTCTTCCTTTAGGTTTCCATTCACCACCATCTCGGAGATCTTACGCTGGTGTCTTCTGGGCCTCAAAGTCCAGGCCCTGGAACTCTTCCAGATATTATTTTCACGAAAGTGGAACATCTGTGTTATGACTTCCATTGGGTGACTTATTTTGCACTTGCTTACCTTGTATCTAGAAACATTTCTCATGTTTTTTTTTTTTATTGTTCAAACGGTCTGCGGCTTATACCATTCATGCTCAAGTTCACTCATTCATTTTTTCATTCACTGACACATCCACTGATTCATTCATTGACTGAATCGGAACAGAGACTCTGTCATAGCCTCCAGTGATTCCCACTTCCCTGTGTTCACCTCCTAGGCAGGGTGGGCCTGTGACTTGCTTATAACCCACAGAATGTGGCAGAAATGATAGGCTGCCCTTGTGTGGTTGTATTATGTAATATAAGACTGGGTCTTGCTGGCAGGCTCCCCATGGAAAATCCCTCTCTGGCTTGAGAAAGGAATGACCATGATGGGAGAACCCGCATGGTGTAGAACTTCAGGAAGCCTGCATCCTTGGTCTCCGAGCCACAAGGGAATGAATCCTGCCAGGGATCTGAGTGAGCTTGCAAGGGGATTCTTTGGCAGTTGAGCGGCCACATGAGAACACAACCCAGGCAACACCTTCATGGCAGCCTTGCAAGATCCTGAGTCAAGCCTAGGTTAGGTCAAGCCCTGAGCTGTGAAAACTGACAAAATCAATGGTTGTTTAAAGCCACTCAGAATGTGGCAATCTATCATGCAGAAATAAAAAACAAACACACTGCTCTATGCTAACCACAATATATGCATTATCTCAGTGCTGGAGATAAGCTCACAAGCCTGCTGCTAATATCATCCTCATTTTACAGGTAAAGAAACTGAGGCTCAGGAGTTAAATTCCAGAATGTTCTGTCATCAATCACTGTACTATCATGCATGTTTTATTTTAATGTATTTTCTTATTTGATGGATTCAAATTTATTGTGGTTTAAAATAAGCCTCCTGAAACAAACAAAAAAATACATTTAGAAAAAGTCCTACTTGGTAAACTTTGTACACAAGGTAGATGTGTTTGTAAATTCAACATTATAAGGAACTTCCTGTAACATTTTTGCTCTTTTATTAGATATTGTATAAAGATAACATTAGACACATGAATAGGGAGGTTTCTTTTTTGTTGTTGAATGTGGTGGACTCTGAGGTATTTATAGGAGAGAACAATTATAATGGTATAAATTCCAAATACTTGGAAAATTACCTGGAACATTAATAATCGATTAAACATTGGTTAGAATGTACTGGAGCTTGGCTGCTGTCTTTATGCTGTAGGACTGAAACATTTCCTTGGTGTCTCAACTTTCCCACTTCTGATCAAGTTCAGGGAAAATTAGGAAGTGGAGAGATTTAGAAATGTTGTTGACCACTGGAGTCCTGTTTGGCTCAGTGTTCTGAAGAGCTAAGGGAGGTTTGTGACCCTGAACCACGTCTTTGAATGAGAGTCCTTTCCATTTGGCATTTATCAGATGTTAATTATTCATACTGCGTGATTGAGGATTTGGGAGTCAGAGATTCACCTGCAATATTTGGAATACCAGTGGAGGTCTACATCAGCACAGAATTTATACAGCAGCTGGCGCTAGTCAAAGCTAATGATGGAATTTCAGTTTAATAAAAAGACCCCCAACTGAGCACACCTTCTTGAAAAAAGTATACTTACCCAACAGCTTTCAATCAGTTCAAGAGAGACATCTTAATTGGGAAGAGGAAGAATTGCAGAGTAGTTTGTCATCGTGCCAATTTCAGATCAATAACTGCATGTCTGCTCTTTGGCAGACATAGGATTTGCTTTATATTAAGTAACCACCTCTACATCCTCCCCATTTGGATAAGGAGATTTTTGTTTCACTTGACAATGTTTAATAATGTCCTCTTTTAATTCACCTCTGTGTCTTTATAATAAACTCAAGTAAGAGTCAGACACTATAAAGGTTAATATTTTCATTTTCAAAAAATAAACCTGTTTATTCTAACAGGAAAACAATACTTATAATTTTATTTCCATACATTTTTGAAATAAAATTACATAAGCAAAATTCAATTATGGTGGCTTAATTATAAGAATAGAATATTGGACAATGACAGTCTGAATTATATAAAATGATTTGTAGAGTAATCTAGAAACAATGAGAACGTTTTCCTTTTTGTAAGAAGGTTTTCGAACACTAAAAGGATGTGACTCAGTCATCTAAGTCCTAGTTCCCTTATTTTTACAAGAAGATAGTCATTCAAATTAGTGGTGGGTTAGGGGCGCCGTCGGCAGCCAGGCAGGTGGAGGGGCAGGGAATGGTGGAGCAGCAGCAGTGTGTGGAGATGGAGGCACAGCCCTGGCCGAAGCCTCTGCTGTTCCTTTCTCACTTCGACCAGGGGGCATCCACCCTTCCTCCCTCCCTCTCTCCCTCCCTCCCTTTTAGTCTGTGTCAATTATGTAGATATAAATTTAAATATAAAAATACTGAGCTGCTACAGGAGTTTCTTTGTGAAAAACAGGGTTTCACCACAAAAATACAATTTGAAAATCATTGGACTACACAATTGTAAGTTCTCCTCCTTCCATGCTTTGACTGCTATCAGAATTTCATTTCAAAAAATGGCAAGGGTGATTGGAAATCTTCTAGCACCCATAGCAAATATCCGTGCTGCGTGAATTGTAGTTCTGCTAAGAAGTCAGGCTATGGGTGAAGCAGCACCTTGCAGAGGCTTCTGATACAAGGGACTCAGACTAATGGGTCCGGGTGTTTGGATTTTTTGGTGTCTTTTAAGAACAACTATGTGGAACAGAGCCACACTCATATAGACACTTAATGTAGGGTCAGAATTGTGGCTTCATTTTGAAATTTTAAAATTCAAAGCCTTTTGCATTTAGAGATTCATATACTGTTAGAGCTGAGATAATTTTTATATATTCACTGATTCATTAAATCAGTAAGTTCTTGCTGAATTTGGGTTTGCACCTAACCACTATACTTAGGGGGCTGAAGTTACAGTATTTTTTCTATTCACATAAATATTATGCTTTAGGGCAAGAGACAGGCAATTAGATAAATAATCATACACATAGCATATAATTACAAATTTTTGTAAATGCTATTAAGCAACAGACCAGGGTTCTTTGAGACAGTATGCCCGAGAGTACAAGAGGACGCTGGGCTGCAGAGAGTGAAAAAACTTGCCTCAAGTTGTATAGCATACATTGCAGGGGCTGGCACTAGACTTTTTTGCTTCTACTCAAACTCACCAGTATGGCTGTGAAAGTTTAGGGTAATAGCGAGGGCTAACTCATGGGGCTCAGAAGTCTATGACTGGATTTGGTGCTATGGCATAGCAGGTAAAGCCACTGCCTGCAGAGCCAGCATCCCATATGGGTGCCGGTTCAAGTCCCGGCTGCTCCACTTCCAATTCAGCTCTCTGCTATGGCTTGGGAAAGCAGCAGAGGATGGTCCAAGTGGGAGACCCAGAAGAAGCTCCTGGCTTCAGGCTTCTGGTTTCAGATTGGCCCAGACTCCAGCTGTTGCAGCCATCTGGGGAGTGAACCAGTGGATGGAAGATCTCTCTCAGTCTCTGCCACTCCCTCTGTAACTCTGCCTTTCAAATAAATACATCTTAAAAAAAAGAAGTCTATGAGCCCCTCTCCTGGCTTCACTACTTTGAAAGGTTGAGCAGCCTTGAGAGATACCCAGATTTTTGCACTAAGAAAGCAAGCTTTACATTTTTTGAAAATTGTCTTCTTTGATAAGGGGCTTTGTGCTTACAATGCAGTTGACTAGAGGTTAGAAATGATTTGCAGGGATAAGAAAGCCCACGATTAAAGAAAAGTAACACCTTAGTGGCTGTAGCAAGCTTACTATGGATTAGGAAAAAAACACAGGGTGCAGTCAGGCTCAACAGCTTTCTGAAGTCTGTTTTGCTGAAGTGCTTTTGTTTTTTGGTCCAGCCCAGAATGCACAATAATTTCTATGACAAACTTTTGCCCAGGTAAGTTTGCCAGGCCTGCCAGTTAGAAGAAAACCCAAGTTAAACCATCGTTATTGAAATTAATGGGTAACAAACTACAACGAAGCTGTTCTCCCACTTGCAAACTGAGCCAGCTGGCATAGCTTTCAGCTATGCCATTAACAAGGGGTTTGAGGTTATTTTCTCCTGCAAGAACCGGAGGAGTAGGAGTAGAGTGGGTTTGATTGATTGCAGGTCCACATGCCTAGAAGAGCCAACAAGCACACAGCCACATGCGTGTGTTCCGTGAACTTGAATAAGCCTCATCTGCCCACGTGGGCGTCCTCTGTTTTTGGGAAGCAACTGCCATCAGTGGAAAGTGCTGAGTCCCCCATAGGGTCCCGTGGGAAAAATGTTTGACCTCCCTTAATCTAAAACCTAAGTCACAAGTCAACTGGCACCCATTCAGATTCTGTTTTTTGTTTTAAATAATCAGATTTGCATTTTTATTATATTTAGGAATCATCTCTGCATAGCCTCTATCTACAAATCTTTGCATTGATGAATAAATACAATAACATACATGTTGCATTTAAAAATATTTTTGTAGTTATTGTGAATGACATTTCTTTCTTTTTAAGATTTTATTTATTTATTTGAAGAGTAGAGTTATAGACAGAGACAAGGAGAGACAAAGGTCCTCTATCCAACTGGCCGCAATGGCCAGAGCTGCGCTGATCTGATCCAAAACCAGGAGCCAGGGTCTCCCACGCAGGTGCAGGGGCCGAAGCACTTGAAGCATCTTTCACTGCTTTCTCAGGCCACAGCAGAGGGCTGGATTGGAAAAGGAGCAACTGGGACATGAACTGGTGCCCATATGGGATGCTGGCACTGCAGGCAGTGGCTTTACCTGCTATGCCACAGCACCAACCCCACTCATAGACTTTTGAGCCCATGACTTAGCCAGGTGGAGGCTTAGCCTACTGTGCCACAGTGCTGGCCTCATTGGATATATATATATATATATATATTTTAAGATTTATTTTGTTTATTTGAAAGGCAGAGTTACAGACAGAGAGAGGGAGAGACAGATATGGAGGTCTTCTACCCGCTAGTTCACTCCCCAAATCGCCATAAAGGCTGGGGCTGGGCCAGGATGAAGCCAGGAACCAGGAGCTTCTTCTGGTCTCCCACATGAGTGCAGGGGCCCAAGCACTTGGGCCATCTTCCACTGCTTTTCCAGGCCATAGCAGAGAGCTGGATTGAAGGTGGAGCAGCCAGACTCAAGCCAGTTCCCATATAGGATGCTGTTGCCGCAGGTGGAGGCTTAACTTTCTATGCCACAGCACCGGCCCCACGTGTTGGATTTTTTAATGCAGATTAATTTTTTCTCATTGTCCCTTTGGTAAGCCTCCTCCCTCCCCATCTCCTTTCCTGAGACCTCACCTCCACTATAACCTTATCAGACCAGCATAATCTTTGCATATTTTGAATCCTTCCACATAAAATCCTAGATAAGTATATCTATATGTTCCCATGCATAATTTTTTTGAGATATCCTCAAAGAAAAACAGGATCATATTATATACTCTTTCTTCACATTTTTCATTTTAATTGCGAATGTCTCAGGAGAATTCCTCCAGTTTTCTGCTTCTGTTATGGTATGGATGTACCATGACCTACTTTGTTTTCAATTTCCTGCTACATTGCACAGTGCTGATATAAACTCATGGACCCATATCCCTGTGTACCTGGGCTTTAATTTTTATCAGTAGATTTCCAAATGTAAGAAATCTGAGTAGAAGGTGATGTGGGAAAGCTTAGATAATTTTGAGTCCCTGAGCTGGAAGCCACTCCTCCTTCGCTCTGAATTGCCACGTTCATCTACCTGTCAATCAGAGGACCCCTCTCCAGGAAATACCTCCTCTTACCAGGGGCATGGGGGGGGGTACCACGTAAACACTTCCGGTTTTCTAAGCTTATGGTGAAGCTAGGCCCAGTGGAAGCACTCACTCCTCTTCGTTGACTCCAGATGGTATGATAATTTCTTTCTTTCTTTCTTTCTTTCTTTCTTTCTTTCTTTCTTTCTTTCTTTCTCTCTCTCTCTCTTTCTTTCTTTCTTTAAAGATTTATTTTATGTATTTGAAAGACAGAGTTACAGAGAGAGGTAGAGACAGAGAGAGAGAGGCCTTCCATCCGCTGGTTCACTCCCTTGATGGCTGGTGCCCATATAGGATGCCGGCACTTCAGGTCAGGGTGTTAACCCACTGTGCCACAGCACCAGCCCCATGATAAGTCTCTTTCTTTGGCCCACTTTCCCTTCATAAAGCCCTAACGAGACTGTGTATTTTCCTCACTTTGTAAATAAAGTTTATTACATTGCATGCCATGTTTGGGTCTGTACTTGGAATTCTTCCCTAAGTAATAGACAAGAGTCTGGAAAATTAACTTAGGGCCAGCCTAGCCCATAACAAAGGGATTTGGATATTTAATTTTTTAAAATGGATATTATTTAGGGGCTGGTGCTGTTGAAGTAGGCAGGCGTACAGGTTAAAATTGATCAGATTTGTGAACTGGAAGACCATGCCTTTGCCACGCCCCTGTGTGGCCTCATGCCCCTACCTGGCCACACTTGGGTGCCTACCAGCCAATCAGGTTAATTAACCACGCCCCTTTGGAAGTGGGTTAAAAGCCCGGCCACACTGTGTGTGCTCTTTTTCCCTGGCCTCTTGTCAGGAGGGGCTTGCTGTAGCCCCGTGCCTCCAGGGCACATGGTCTTCGGGCCATGTGCTCTAGGCTTCCTGGCCTAGATGCTCTTTCACGTGGCTGGTTCCTGGTGCTTGGTATGAACCCCTATTTACCTCTCTCTTAAATAAAGCTCTCACTCTCCTATGCATCTTTCTCACTAAATAAAAGCTTAAAACGTACCATGCTGCCTCGTTTATCTGTGCCAATATTTAGAATTCTTCTCTAAATATTAGGCAAGAACCCTCTTGGGCTTATTAATATCGGGATTTAGTAATAAGCCCGTGGTGAAATCGGAAGGCGCCCCAGATTTCAGTAGTACATGTGGCACCCCGGATAGCATTTCTAGGGAACTTTAAGGGGCCACATTTCAGTGTAAATTTTAGGGGGTCTTCTCCAATTTCACTGTGGCGTAGCAGGTAAAGCCACTGCCTGCAGTGCCAGCATCCCATATGGGCGCCAGTTCAGACTTGGCTGCTCCTCCTCAGATCCAGCTCTCTGCTGTGGCCTGGGAAAGCAGTGGAAGATGGCCCAAGTGTTTGGCGTAGCTCTGGCTGTTGCAGCCATTTGGGGAGTGAACCAGCAGATGAAAGATCTCTCTCTCTCTGCCTCTCAAGTAACTAAATAAATCTTAAAAAAAAAAAAAAAAGCACCATTTCTGCCTGAATCCACTATCAAATGGATTGTAGTCTCCTTTTATTTTTGCCAAAGTAATGGGCTTAAATTTCAGTGTCGGTTTATTTTAGAGTCCCTCAGTTACTACTGAGTTCAAATGTCTTTCACAAATTTGTAGGTCGTCTGTCATTGCTCCTCTGCAAGTTCACTGCTTTCTTTCTGAGTTTTGTGTTGGAAGAGTCTACATATTACATTTCCCTTCCGTGTTAAAATTTTTTTGTATTTCTCATATGTCTGCTTATGATATTTGAAATACATTTACTTTAATGTAACTAAATATGCATATCTTTTGTAGCTTTCTAGGTTTACTGTCTAAATTATGCAGACTTTCCCATAAATGTACATTCTTGTAAAATGTCTATTCTTTTCAAGTTCTTAATCTATTTGAAATTGCTTTTAATATTTCAACTTGAGTTTTCTATATCATTTAGAAATAATCCACCCCTTCCCATTGAACTGTACATTAAAAGCTCATTTCTGTAAGAATCTAATTCAGCATTCTATGCCTTGTTCCACTGTTTTCTTTGTTTATTGAGCTGCAAATTCCTGATTAGTTTTTAGAGCTTTGTAATGTCTTATTGCTGTTTGATAAAGCATGTCCCTCCTAACTATTCTTTTTCTTCTTAAAAATGGTTTATTCGGGCACTTGTTCCTGTAAGTAAAGTGTAACATCGATGAGTATAAGCAGAAGTTCTTTTTTTTAAAAAAGACTTATTTATTTACTTGAAAGAGTAACACAGAGAGAAAAGGAAAAGCAGAGAGAAAGATAGAGAGAGAGAGAGAGAGAGAGAGTCTTCCATCTGCTGGTTCACTCCCCAATTGGCCGCAACGGCCAGAGCTGCACCGATCTGAAGCCAGGAGCTTCTTCCAGGTCTTCCACACGAGTGCAGGGGCCCAAGGACTTGGGCCATCCTCCACTGATTTCCCAGGCCATAGCAGAGAGCTGGATTGGAAGTGGAGTAGCCGGGTCTCGAACCGGTGCCCATATGGGATGCTGGCACTGCAGGCAGTGGCTTTACCTGCTACACCACAGTGCTGGTTCCAGCAGAAGTGCTATATGTTTGTTCTGGATGAAGGAGTCAGGAGCCAGCGTGTGGTCTGCCTCAGCCTCTCCACCTACTTTGGTGATCAGGGAAGCACCTGTTGAGATGAAACTTGTTTCAGACTGGATTTGTGAGTGGCAGTGAGGAACAGAGTCCCCTGATGGACACACAGAATGAGTGAGAAATCAACTGTGGTTGTGCCAAGGCACAGAGATGGTGAGGAGATGTGTTTCATCAATGATCCCCAAGTTAACTCCAGTTGATGAGATGGTGGCAAGGCTTAAGTACTCAGATATAAAAGCCTGTATCCAAAGTCAGGAGCCAAGTTACAGATCAGCAACATTAAAATTATCAGTGAGTCACAATAATGATGAAGCTATTCTCACGTCCCAAGACAGGCCCTTCTGGCTACATGGTTTATTTTCAGGTGGTTGAAGAAACACATGTCCTGCAACAGAGATCTGCCCTCCCACCCAACATGGCTCCATCCTACAGTGGAAGGTTCCTGAGTCTAAGGAAGGAAACTTAAAACACAATTGAAGATGATGATTTATATCAGGGATTGCAAACTGGTAGCCTGTGAGCTAGAACTGGACCACAGATGTGTATGTATGTATGTATGTATGTATTTATTTATTTATATGAGAGGCAGAGGGAGAGACAGAGACAGAGAGATCATCCATCTGCTGGTTCATCCCCCAAATGGCCACAGTTGCTGGAGCTGAACACATCTGGAGCCAGGAGCGGGGAGCTTCATCTGGGTCTCACATGGGTGCGGGGGCCCAAGGGCTTGGACCATCCTATGCTACTTTTCCCAGGAGAATTAACAAGGAGCTAGATCACAAGTGGAGCAGCTGGGACTCGAACCAGTGCCCATATGGGACACCAGCACTGCAGGCGGTGGCTTTACCTGCGACGCCACAGTGCCAGCCTGTTTCCTGGTTTTCTAAAGGTCATGCATGACTAGTTGAGAAAGAAGGGAACGTGGAATATCTGGTTTTAGATCATCCACAACTCAGGTTCATCACACTTTGGTTCCACATCTTTACTGGATGGGAAAGAGGTAGAATATATTTTTGAAAGATCTGGAGTACTTCATGGGCTGAAGAGACCACTTCTCAAAGCAGAAATGAGGACGTTTCCACTTGCATTCTGCAAACACACTTTTGTAAACCTCCTTAGAAAATGTGTTATTTATTATTCATAAATTACAAAAATAACTTTGTTTTTCAAATAAAGATTTTTCACAGACCTGTTGTACAAATCTAAATGGAATAAATACAATGAATAAATGAGCTGTCTAGTTTCACCCTAGTTACCGTGAAGGCTTTTTTTTTTTTAATTCTGGGCTAGTAGTTTTCTTTAAAGAAACACACCGGAAACCCTTTCTAAAAGAAAGGACTGTGTAGGATATGCAGATTCAATGTATGTTGTCCTCATTTACCCAGTGGAATTCAAAATAAGCCCCAACTTGTGAACATATTAAAGCAGACTGAAATGGATATCAGCGGGATTTGTAAGGAGAAGCACTCCAGTCAGTCAAACATGCTACGCACACGAACTTTGATCACGTTGTTTTACTGATAATTACCTGCTGCTGTCACCTCAAAGCGGGATTTCATGCAGGTTCCAGTATTTCAATATTCTATTCCAAGCCAAGCCTGCAAAGGCTTTACACCAGTCTGGCCCCGTCCATTTTATCGCATGGTTATTTTCAGTGTCTTTCTTCATGGACAGCGATGCAGTCAACGTCCTCTTAGTTGTGTCTGAATGTGTGGCCAAGAGACCACCAATACTTGGCTCCCTGGTCCCTGGTCCCTGGTCCCTGGTCCCGAGCACCTGCTGCCCCGTCTCCTGCCGTCCCAGGTGTCAGCTGACGCGGTACTGAGACGCCGCGCTTCCAAGCTGCTGTGGATACGCCTCTGACCCCGGCTACTGGTCGTGGGCGAAGCGACTGTCCACTCTCACATTCGCGGCTGCTGGTTGCAGGACGCATCCACGTGTGCGGTGGGCGCGGGCAGCTAGCGCCTGCTGGTCTTCCGGCCTGCCAGAGCTCCGGCTTCTCTCTGCCACTGCTCCCCCCACCCACGTTTTTTTCCCTCATACTGAACTCCTAATTAAATTTAACAGTTTCAAGAGTTTAAACTGTATACCTTTTTAATTGTGTCCTACTTTGTATTGGCTGATGCACAAGTCTGAAAATGGATATTACAGCTTTTTATGATATAATATCACCCTAATTGGTGCTTCATAGGCCGTGGCTGAATTCTTTTCAATTAAGCTCTAACATACAGTAACTGTTTCTCTCTGCAAATGCTGGAAAGCCATTCACAAGAGAGGACTGGTACTGCACAATTCCGAAGTACCTTAATGTGTCAAAAATGTTTTGTGAAGAAAGCTACACTGTAAATGCAATCACCTACATTGGTGCTCCCATTGTTCACAGGGAGTGAAAGTATTGCTAATTGTCCTGCGTTTTAGCTGGGTTTTTAAAGCATTATGTAGTAAGTACACCGGAGGGTCAATTTGTGAAGTGAAATACTTAGCATGCAAAGCGTAATACAAGATGCTGTGTAATACTTGACCTCTCAGCATAATAAATGTAGCAGTGAAACGCTGTGCATTCAG